TATTTATATATTATATTATTGTAGAGTAGATGTAGAATTATTGTAGAGTAGATGTAGATGTAGATGTAGATATAGAGTGTAGATGTAGATGTAGATGTAGATGTAGATGATTATTATTATTATTATTATTATTATTATTATTATTATTATCATCCTCAAATTTCACAATTCATTTCATAATCAACTTAAGGCCTCGTTCCACACCACTAAAGAATCCGTACATTGTAAGGGCGCCCTAACTGGGCGAGGGTGATTAACTTACCCTAACTTTTTTTCGGTTCCCCAACCCACGAGGAAGACCCTACACTTACCCACCCTTACATCTCAGGTGGGGAGGGGCGGGTGTCAGAACCTCGGCCTGTCGGGCACGGATGTCCGTGAACGCGGTTTGGCGGACAAGAAGTTGTCCATGCTCTGCAGGCCCGTGGGACATGCAATTTTCGGGACACCAGCGTTTTGGCTGGGCGGCCTACCGGGCGCATGAAGGCCGCCCCCATCGATATGAAAAGTGTGTGCAGCGAAGGAAATTTGAATTCAAATTTGCGTGGACCTCCTTCGGCACCGCCCTCTCCCCTGTGGTTGTAGTTTCCACCTTGGGACCTTGTTGGCCATAGCCCGCCAGTCGACAAGTGGGGTGTGCTCGTCTTTGCGGTTCGTTAGGGGCGATGGAAGACGGCGTCGACGATCCGCCTGGGGCGCGGAGGCTCACACAAAGGGAGAGGTCACTGCTAGGGACACCGTCGCTTGCGGTTTCTCAGCACATGCAGACGGTAAACGACCTGCGGCGAGCCAGCGGAAGACAAAGGGGCAGACGGGAGGCCGCCATAGCCCAGGCTTTGATGGACGTGCACTCCTCGCCAGGTCTATGGGATGCGTCGGTCCTGTTGTCGAACGCCATTATGGCGGGTGTGATACCGAGGGAGACGCCAAGGTGGTGGGTGAAAAGAAGGATGGGGGGAACATGGAAGGACCTTACCATCGTCGACGACGCAACCGACGAGTACTTCCATGACAAACTGCGGATGACGCGGACGGTGTTCAATGACATTGTGGCGGCGTGCAGTCCTTTCCTTCAACGCAGACTGACTCACTATCGGGAGCCATTGCAGCCCGACCATATCGTGGCGTACGCGCTGTATCGATAGGCGTCCGGAGAGACTTTCGAGAGCAGCACTTCCTCGTTCGGCATAGGGAGGTCGCCAGGCATCAAGGTTTGTAACAAATGCCATTTTGGTCGTGTTTTCAGATAAAACTGCAATTCCAAGTGGTCGTTGTCTCCTACAGGTCATCCGAGCTTTCAACAGCAAAGGTTTTCCGAACTACTTCGGCGCCATTGACTGCACCCACATTTATGTGGACAAGCCTGCCAACGGAAAACTACTTCGATCGAAATCAACAATTCTCCGTCGTGGCACAGGTTGTCGTCGATCTTGACATGCGGGTCATCGACGTCTTTGTCAGTTATCCGGGGTGCGTCCACGACCAGCACGTGCTGCAGAACTCGTCACTTATCAGGCGAGCAGAAGCGGGGGAGATCTTCAACGTGAACCCGATCATCCTCCCGGGAGGGGTGAGGACGACGGGGTACATGCTGGGGGACAACGATTACGCCTCGCGGACGTGGATTGTCGTTCCATACGGGGGCTCGGAGCAGGCGGGGGACGTCGCTCAGTTTGACACGCGTCAGAAGACTACGAGGGGGGTTGTCGAGAGAGTGTTCGGGCGCCTAAAGGGGATGTGGAGGTTATTCCTTCGTCATCACAAGACAAATATGAATAACCTTCCGCAACAATTCATTGTCGTGTGCATCATCCACAACCTCTTGCTTGAGGCCGGGGTTGCCTTCGATGAGGGTCTATTGCTAGACCACGACCGGGATGGGAACCCCGTCCCCATCAACCTTGGTTTGCAGGATTTGTCGCATCCCGTCTCCCAGACAAACGCCACGGAGGTTGCCCTCGCTCTGCGTGATGGTCTTCGCATGCTCAGTGAATAGGGAGTTTCATCTGCGTTATTAGGTTGTGGAGGGGGATGCATTTCGGGAGCGGTGAGCGTTCAAGCACCACATGTGCACAGTCAAATGTGCATGTTCTTAGTGCGGGGATTGATCCCGTCGTTTGATTACCCCATCGTCGACGGGCTCACTGAAAAAGAAGGGGGGGGGGGGGTAAAAATATTTATGCGTTGGAGTGTTCGAGTGCGATGTGGGTGTTAAGACGTCGGTGGAAACATCTCGTTCGTGGTGAATTGAGTTTTTTATTTGCCCGACGTGTTCGTGCACCTGTTCTTTTAATCCATTTCGTGCATATTCTTTTGAACGTTGTTAACAGTCTTTCTCACGATGGCAGATTGTCAGTCATAATGCTTGGGAAAATGAAACGACCAACTGTATTTGATGCCCTTAGGTTGTCGACTTGCTGTGTGTACGTGTTCTTCTCCTTTACCAAACAAAGCCTATCATTTATTGTTTTGGTCTGCCCATGCTTGTCATGACGTCTGTGGCATGGGATAAACAATCTAGCAAAAAGGCATGTAAAAAAGCGAAGACATTAAAAAAAAAAAAAACGATTACAAAAAATACTGAAAGCCAAATAAAAAGAGCAAGACAACAGGCCTAAACTTTAAGAACCACTTGTACTGCATGTCCAGTGAGAAGAAAGAAACGACAAACCGTTGCAAAACATCAACATCAGCATGATCAACCGTGTTATAGCGAAACACATGGTGAAGTGCAATGCTAAAACAACATTCATTGCATCCCATGGCATCTCTCTCTCTTGCACTCTCATGCCCTACTCCCTATTGCTCTCAGTTTCATCGTCCACACTAGACAGGCAACTACTAAGAAGTGGTAAACGGAGCACACGAGCACCATTTCGTGGCCAAAGTCGGTGCTCATCAACCGGGCTTGAACACTATTCACAACTCCCCACGAGATGACGTGGAAGGAAACACTCGCCTCTCTCTCTCTCTCTCTCTCTCTCTCTCTCTCTCTCTCTCTCTCTCTCT